AAATCGATAATATTTATCTATATATATATATATATGTATATATAAATTACCCATGTTGTGAAAATTCGGTGGCATCACTAAACATTTGCTAAAATGCGATATTGCATCTTTTATTTGATCCTAAAAAATGATTTATAAAATTTTAATAAGAAAAAAAAATAATCATCATTAAAACTAATAATATTATTGTTATTATTGAACAATTGTAAACCTGATAAGTAGTATCGGAAGAAGAAGGATTATTGTTTTCTATTTGATTAAATAATTCCTGTCCAATACGAAAATTTTCACTCAGCGTCATTTTTTTAAAAGTAGATTTTAGTGCTACCCGTTTTTTGGGATCTGTAAAAATTTTGACATTGTCCTAAAATGGATAATACAATTTATATATGATAAAAATCATACAATAAATTTTTTTTTTCCTATTTAAAATTTTTTTTTAAAATTTTTCTTTAAACAATTCATTGTAACATGGCATTCCAAAGTATTGTTAATGGAGCAGAATGTTCTACTAGTTCTAATCCTATGACACAATTTATAAAGCAGTTTAATGAAGATCTTTCATTACAAAAGGTAATTTTTTCTTCGTTTTATTTTGTTTCAAGAATTTTTTTTTAACGATATAAATCAACTTTTCCGATTTTTTTTAAATAGGAAGTTTTCATTCCAGTAAACGATAAAGCGGGCCCAAGTACAGTATGTGATATTAATTATTGTTCAATAAGGTTTTTTTTTTGGGCGCACCATATTTATAGTTTCTAACATTATGAATTTTCATTATGTAGTTTCGTACAGCTGGACCAGAAGTTGACATACAAGAAAAACAAGTAACAATTTTCTCAAATATACACTTTTCAATTATTATTTATTCTTTTATTTACATAATTTTTAATTGTAATAGTATATTGAAGAATTCTTTGAGCCCAATTCCATTTTACCAAATGTGACTAATTTTTCAAGTCATAGAGCAAAAGGTAATAATTACAACTTCTTTTAAATCTATTTCTATATTATATATTTATGCTTATTAATTCTTCTTTTCACAAAAAAATTACATTTAAAGAATGGGCAACAGAATTTGAAAATATAAAAGATTCACCACATTTTATGCAATATGGGCCAGAAATAAAGGAT